AAGACAAACCCAACGCACCTACGTGACTGTTCTCGCGAAAGCGTAACAATGTGTGCGATTTTCAACAGCCCAGACGTAAAAGTAAGTCAACTACAAGGATAAATCTTTCCATAATGAAGCTGATTTGCCAATAACATTTAGCCATGAAGGAGAGCAGACAGTGATAGAGACCTATGAAAAAATCAAAACTAATTCGGCGTTCATTATGCGTCCATCCACCAATCCTAGTCCAATATAAACAATCCATCCAACTCGATTTATTTTCTGGCCATCATAACTGAAGCTCTCGAATGGGGAGGAGTAGGGAGGAAATGTGGGAATCTGTGCTCCAAGGTATCTCACCTCAAAAAGATACTGAGCCGTCCGAACACCTTCGGTAGACAGCTCAACAATTGGCCAGACGGCATTTTCTGAAAGGGCTCTGACGCCAATTCGCAGATCCTGAACCACTTGATCCGACGAAGGATGTGGTGGCTGATGTCTATCTCCACGCAGAGAACGAACTGGCGTTACGAAAGCATTCACCGAGTGGAGAACAAAGTCACGCACCCCAACAACTGCAAGGAAACCGTACATTTGACACCAAATAACATTCATCTACAACGTCAGTCCTTCAGCTATTCATTCATTCCACCTCTCCTGAGGCGCCTTCAACATGCCACAACAACAACAACAACAAGCAACAAGGATGAGGAGAACTCACGAATACTCGAGATTTCGTTCATCGGTCCAATACTAGTGGCCAAAATTTGAAATAAATTGTTTTGCAGAGTAGACGTCCAATGGGAAACAACTTCTTCCATAAGGCAGTAGACACCACGATAGCCCCTCTGATACACCCACTGAGGCAAAACTAATTCTGCATTCTTTAATCGAAGGCATAGTGCTAGTAGACCGATGAAAGTGCCCTAATATCGAGCAAAAAGTAGCATCATTGGTAAACAAAAACATCATTTCAAAGTAGGTAATGTTGTCTCTTTGTTCTAACCTGAGAAAGATCCAATTGATGTCCATGATAGTTAAATCGTATGGGAAGGGAGGGGATAATAGTTAATTGCCTGAAGGAGGTAAAAAGAGAAATAAAGAAAGTAGGCAAAATAACAACAAAAAAAGGACTTTAGAGAGAATGAAAAAAAATCATACTTAAAGAAAATAGGCTGATCTTCATCATTGGTGGAGGTGGTGGCGGAGCGGAGTGTGCTTTGCTCCTCCTCTCCCTCCACAGAAACGGAACGGAGGCAGAAGAGGAGAGACACTCGTTTCTCCATATCCTGTAGATATCGTTCAGTCAATTGAGTAAGGGCTGTATGATGAGCACGCAAAAATACGAACATGGTCTAAAAAGTGAGTACAACATTTCAGCATTTCCAGTTCCATGCTACAACATCCAGTGGGACTGTTGTTACACCAGCTTCATGGCCGTCACCTACTTGATCTAAGTTAATTTGGAGTGGTTGAATGGAGACTTTCACTTCAGCCTCATAATCTGTAGGCACAGCGAGGGAAGTGAGAGAGGGCCACATCAGTACAGTGGCTCTCACCGCCTCAACAAAACGACCATCTTCTCGTGCTCGACTTTGCTGAACATGAAAAAGGTGGTTGATCATCGATTGTGGCAAACCGTCCACAATCTTTACATCCCCAATCCGTAGAGCATATCGTGTCACCGGGTGAAGAGTGGAAGTTGAAGCGATAGAAAGGGGCGAACTCTGTCTCCTCATTTCCTTGCTTCCTGTTCGATATCGATGTAGTTGATATTCAACGGAGGGCTTAAATATAGACTTGCGGAAGTAGACATTTGAAAGACGAACGGTTGCAGTCTGAAAGGAGGAGGAGGAAAGGGAGGAAAATAGTGCGTAAAGTGTTAGCCACCTCTACCCACCTGATCATTTTGTCGACTAAAATGTGAAAGTGCAAGGCCATGAGGAATTGACAAAGACTGTCGAAGCTTCTCTTCCATGTCGGTGCCTAAGAGCAGACAACACGATCATTTATACATGAAATCTACCGAATTCAAAGGTGTTCATATCAATTGAATTACTCACCAGAACACATGGAAGGAAAATCTAGACCACCAAAGAAGGTCCATTCAACGGAGACGTCATGAAGAGTAAAGGCAAATAGACTTTCACTACCGAAAGGATCTGAAAATAGTCCTTGTCGTCTGGGAAGTGGAGGTAAACACCTATTTTCTGCATAGAAATCCTCATTTGGAAGCGAGGCGGGAGAGTAGGACATAATTCGAGTTCCATCCTCAAGAACTTTCGCTGGTTGACGAGGTGAAGGAGGCGTCTTAGGAGAACCTCTTTCAATCACCACGAAATCCTCCTCGCTATGGGTGGTGGCTAAACACTGAGGAGGAGGAGGAGGAGGAAGAAGGGGAGAACAATTTGACACGTCTACATCGGAGACGGCTGCCGAGATGAGACCCTCGATTTTTGATCGCCTTGAAGCCTACAAGGGTAATCATTACCCATGGAAAAGGGGAAAAAACACACTAACCTCGTCACCAGGAGGAGGGGGAGGAGGAGGGTTAATTAAAACCGGAAGACCAGAAGGTTTTTTCTTCGGTGACAAGGATTGAGGAGTTCTATTAAAACCCTCCAAAATGAGCCGAAGGGCAACCAAGCTGTCCAAACAGGTCGTGAGTCGAATCAAATTGATAGTCAACCGAACATCCATACGCGGTGGAGAAGGCGTCTACAAGGAAGTAAAAGGTACGCCTTCAGTAGCCGCTTTAGAGGAGAAAGGTGATGAAGTAGAGGGAAGGCAAATTGACTCGCACCTGACTACCATCGGACGAGACAAAATGCAGCTCCAAATGGTCAACATCGATCACCTTGACAGACCGGCGAAGAATAGTGTCTAAATCGTCACTGAGAAGGCATTTTAAGGCCTTCACCTCCCTCCATATAGCTCGTGGTAGACCACCTTGCTGTTCACCAGATGGTAAGCGAAGCCTCTGCAAAGGTAAAGGATGACTTCCACCTCTCGAAAATATGAACTCACCTGTGACTTCTTGGCCGAGCATAGTGAAGACGGCGTTGGCACCAACCACAAAGCTAATCTCTCAAAAAACGTGATGTGACTAGTGGTATTCGTAAATTTTGAAAATGCTGTCACACTTTTCGTCAAGATGAGCGGTCGAAGAGAGCCCAGACCAGAGGTGGGTGGTGCCAGGTTGATGGAAATGGTCTCCTCCTCCTCCACCTTCTCACCATCTATAATTCCTTCAAAAGCACAAACAGGGGGCACATGAACAGCAGAATTGTCCAAGTGCCAATGAATCTTGACATTGTACGAGGGACAAAAGAGGGAGGGATACTCCTTGGACATTAGATTGGATTGTAAGTTCGGAAATGCTTCCATCCACCAAGTGTGCAAATAAGGCCAGTAGCAAAGGCATCCCAAGCGTAATTTAACCGCCACAACAATATCCTCCGAACAGCTTGGGGAGAGGGGCTCTGAAGGAATAGTTGTTTGATGAAATTGCCAATTAAGAGTCTTACCCAGTGGACCATATATGGGGATGGATTGTTTCTCCATGGCTAGGGCTAGCATAGGCTCAGTAGAAACGTCCTCTGAATGTATGATTGGCAGGAGCAGAGGTATGCTGATTTTTGACTGGCTAGAGGTGCTGCTACCACTGAATTTGTTGTTCCCATCAAAGGAGCCTTAAAAAAGCGAATGAGGCAATAACAATTTGGCACTAGCCTCCCTCATTATTTGTGGCATGGAGTGCTCGCTACTGGTGGTGGCGGCGATGATGATGATGGTGGTGGCTAGCAGCTAACGTGTTCTAGGTAAAAAATGACCTTAACTTTGTAAAATCAAGCGTTGTGGAAAGAGAGAATCGCCTGTTGGTGAATGAAAAGTATGGATGAAAAGTAGAACAAATTTTGGTAATGCCAAATCCCCTACGGTTGTGGAATCAGATCACAACCTTCTGAACATAAATGTAACGATGAAAGGTGGTTGGGAGAGGGTGTGCTGCCTGTCGAATAGCATCTTGGAGTTCGCACGAAACTTAACCAAAGTAGGGAGAGAGGAGCGTGGACTCATGCTCCATCTCCTCAAGATGTGCAACTTTTCTTCACGCCCTCTGTAACCCCCCATCACCCATTTTGCAGGCTCCAATGCCAGTAAACGTTATCCCCACTTGTATCAAGTACCTGACACATGCCCTTCAATTTGACCACAGGTCAACGTGGTGTAGGCTAGGCCGGATTTGCCGCAAGGGTTAACTTCCGTTGTCAGACGAACAGAGTGAGATGCAAGGATGAAGGTCATTGGAATGGAAGAAGGTGGTCGTTGTGAGGTGTTGAGACGAATTCGAGTCTCGAAGTGTTCAATGGAGACGGAGAGAAAAGAGGCAGCAGGTGACTGAAAGGCTTGGTTGGCAGAGTAGATGCCTTCGAGATCATATTGTTCTCCAAGTTTGGCACCAAATGGCGTATTTAAGGCTGGAGATGTTAAAAAAGTGGAAGGATTTGATTACCGGCGCCTAGTTGCCACCATCAATATGTCTGCGCCATAGACCAGCTTATTTCCTCGTCCATTACTGACAAATTATGCACAAAGCATTAGACACAATTAGGTGGGCGACTTTGAAGTCTCTCACCAATGGAACACAAGGCATGAGGTTTACGCAAAGGAAAAAAAATTAGCCACAATTGTGAAAAATCGGCTGATAAGAATACAAAGGAGCTCCAAAGCGAAGTGTACAATATGACGGCGTGCAATACAACACACAACCAAGATAGCATGCATCTTGACGTCTTCAAGAATGATTAGACCTTGACAAAAGTATGCCATCTAGATAGCAAACAAGCGCTTACAACAAGAAGATACTTAAAGGACTGCATACACATCAAAATATCCGCTTTGCAATGTTTTCGGCTCAAAACTTACCATCAGTATCAGATTCAGCAGAAGAAGAGGAGGAAGAAGAGGACTCAGTAGAAGAAGGGAGAAGACCTTCCGCGTACCTTCTATGCCGTTCCTCGGCAGCCAAAGCAGCCGATGGATGGGCATAAATGCTTCCAGGTGGGACAGGTTCGGCATAGAACCAGTAACGGTGGTCAGAAACGCCGAAAGACGGCTGTACCCCACCACCCACTAGTAACACTGCTCGAGATCGTCGATTCGAAGGCAGTAGACTCTTCCATAGTGTCAAATCAATCAGCAGACTTTAAAGTAAAGTGAGAAGGAAGAAGGAGGGATTTGAAGCAAGCACAAACTCCAGCACTGGAAAAAGATGTCCAAAAATATAACTTACAAATTATAACTATACGCTTACCGAGTGTAGAGAAGGGAGAGAGCTCTTTCATCAGGCACGCGGAACAGGACGTCTGGAAGTGACAAGGCTACAAGGTACTTACATTGTCTCGAGGCTGCAAAGTTGTAGGTTTTGAGATGCTTCGAGTCACCGGGCAAGAGAGATTGCTAAGTAAAGCAAAAACAGGTCATTCACCGAGACCTGATTACTGACTGCCAGTTAGGATAACGTAAATGACAAAAATTTCATAGCTCCACGAAATGCGTTTGACAAAGGGAGTAGCCATTAGATAGGTAGAAGACAACCACATAAACTCCTCCCCCTACCAGACAACATTTGTGCTGCACCTCCTTTTTTACCTTCGAGACGTCTCTGCTTTAAACACCACCGTGAATTTTGTCGTAGAGCGATGCAGACAGGGGATCGGAAAGGAACAATAATCAACCAACAAAGGGAGAACTACTTAAGGAACCTGTACACAAGTGATTGAGTGAGAACGTTCTCTACGACAGACAGTATAGTAGGTGAGAGAGTGACGGCATTTATCTTCAGTTCCGTCCGTTACAGGTGTTTGCAAGTAAGACAGGGTTCAATGATGGTTCAAAGGCGGATCGTACAATTATTTCAGGCAGAAAACTTCAAATTCAAGACATTGAAGAGCACATGGAGAGGATGGGGTGGCGCTGATGGACCCCTTCTTTCGATTTACCTCCCCAGCACAACACTTCATCACGTTGGATGGGTGTAAAATGGCGGTTGAGATCTCAGCAACCGTATTCAGCGTTATGAAATGTCGATGATTTGTGCAAAACTAATTAAATTGTATTGCCGTTCTCACAGAAATCATGCCATCGCAGTACATTCACTTAAAACACTTGCCTTTTCGCCAATACCTCAGCTTACTCGCCTTACGCACCGCCATTGTTAATGGATCAGACTACCACTGCTGTTGCTCTTGTGCCACAACAGCTGAAAACCCAAGGTGAGAAAGACTCACCTTATCCCACAAATTCTGCGAATCCTCTCCCAAAAACATAGCCCTTCTAACAAAGGGACTTCGTTGGGTGTGTGTAATGACATTGGCGATGAGGTTCTCTTCAATCTCCTCATCTTGAGAGGGAGGTTCGATTGACGATGGTGAAGAGTAGTCATTCAGTCCAGATGACATCGCCGACGACGACTCATCCGATTGGACAACTGTAACAGTTTTTCGAGTTAAAAATGCAGTTGAACGGCACGGACGCGAATGACCTTTTACTGGAAACGCATTGAGGCGTCGTCGACCATCTGGAGCAATGCGAAGGGAGACACTAGAGAGAGAAAGCATTCAAACCAATCAAAAAAGGGGACGAATTCTGTGATGCCAAGACTGACACAAATGAGCCAATCTATACTGAGCAGATTCAATCAATGAAACAATGCATTTTTACGTTCTTCCCATAGTCCTCGTCTGTGAAACCTGCTCCGTTCATAAAAGGTAAAATTACGGTGCGATAAAGGTCTAATGGCTCCCCTCTTGTCGGAGAAAAGGAATTAAGGTAAAAAGAAGCCTCACTGAGTAACGTTGTGTGGCAAGATTTGCCACAAGACACTCAAAGATAACTTCATCTATCAAGAAGTTGGTGAGCTGCCTCAGTCAACCTAAATAAGATTGTTTACAGAGTCATGAGAGGAAGTGAGAGAGATGAAGATAAGAGCAGCAGTAAAAAAAGGCAAAATTAGGTTCAAAGGAAACGTATCATAAAATTGGTAAGTCAGCATTGTCCAGTTATTAGCAATTATTCGCACACTAGTTTTTATGGCCAAAAAGAATGGGAAAAGGCCACGCACACCCAAACTGATTACAAAAATACGACGCCATCTGCAGATGAACTATGTGTTGACCACCGTGCGGTGAAATGCATGCAAACAGATTTCCTCGACCAAATCGAACGTCTCAAAGCACAAAATATACCAAATTAACTAGCATAACTGGGTGAATTGAGGAAAATTGGAGCAAACCTTGCAGCTTCCCGATTCGACGACGACTTGCTGAGGACTAGGAAGGGCTTACTGTCATTTGTTGCTCCCCCGGTGAAGAATGCTATAAAAGGAAGAGGAGAAAGGGAAGGGGGTTATTCATATGCAACACCGCATCACTCATGCATGTAAAGCACATTCCTGTATACAAGGGTGATAAATAAGCCCCTTCATTACTTTCCACCAAATCTTAAGAGCTCAAATGCACACACACACACACACACACAACCAGGCGTAAGAGGGTGTTGATGAGGTCCATCCATGACCATTGTCTGCTTTCTGTCTCACCCTCCGCCTACACAGGAACGTTCAGTTGCAAGGGTGGTCGACAAGGCGACTGTCAAAGTATCAGTCATTTCCCTTCTCATCGACTTGGTTAAAAGTGTTGCCCCAAAAAGAAAGCAGTGGAGACACAGGACAAATGCAAGCATGCACAAACAATTTTAGGCATTTGTATTTTTTCCCAATTTGACATTTCTTTCAGCCCAGCTAGAGACTAAAAATAGCAAAATTTAGACGAAAAAAAATGCAGAATGTATATACTGGTGACCACTGCCCTACCGTAGGGGAGTTGGCGCTGCAGAGATTTCACGCACAAACACACACACACACACACACACGCTGTCCATCCATCCATGAGAGGCAGGAATGATGTCAAGACCAGGTGAAAAAGTGGGTAATTACTTATCGTCATACCAACCCTCAGCCCCATAAAACAGGCAGAAGAGGAGACAGTGGAATAGAAGACGGATTAGTGGAGAGACGCCAGAAAACCAGCTCGTTGAAGACCAATGTCCACTGTCGCCAAATCAATTGAAAGGGCCTTGATTCTAGGGTGTGACTAAAGGATCATTGGATGCATGGAATGACTTCTGTGAATCACCTTCAAGTCGTGCTGGCCAATTTATTTATTGATAAAACTTGAAATGCCATTCCTGCCATGCCTTTCTTTCATAAATGACAATTATGAAAGACGTTTCCAAAAGTGCATATGGCATTCCTTCGAGGTTTCAGTAAATTAAGAATTTACTCAAGAGAATGGTTAGGTTATTGTCTCCAACTGCTGCATTTTGCAAAAGACTACCTGGAGCCATTTTCAAGTACCGTGACATCGTCTTGGGGAGCAAAGATGAAGTGCCGTGGCTGACGAAAAGCACGTGAAGGCAAAACCTTCGATTCAGGGCAGAAAAGAGGAACCATGCCTGCTTCCTTCCTTTGGAAAAAAGGCAAATATGCTACCTGTTTGGTGGGAGTTTGAAGCCTTGCTACACACCCAACCCCTCACCTCCCAACCAGTGCCTCTGCGTCCGCCTCTCCTGCCTTTTTGTACACAAAATGACACAATGACCTGCAGTTATGAATCCCTTCAGTCGTCTACAAGGCTAACATTGCCAAAGTAAGGCACCGCTTGTTACGATAATTTCACAATCTCTGGAACAATGCGTCTCTCTGTCGAAGTCACTACTTTTAAAGAGTACTTTCCAGCGAGGCGGAAAACATTGAAATTTAATCTACTTTTTTTCAAATCAAAAACAAAAAAATTAATGCCATAAAATGAAACCACACTTCAGTGAAGTCGACATCCATTTTTCGCTCCCAACAACGGCAGCAGAAGTAGCAACAACAACAACAACAGCAACACCACCGCCACCACCACCACAAAAACGCTCAATCTTTTTTCTCACACATTAAAAAACCGTTTAATGGAAGTGAGCAGCAATAAATTAGGTCCGAGGTGAAGTTTTTACGAGTTTATTTTGACTAAATTTAGAGGCTCCCACACCGACCTCCATTCGCCCCGTCCCCTTTGTACAGACTTTTGGGCAGGCGTTGGATTAAAGTCGAATCGACTGCCTCGGCAACGATCGGCCTCGCCGACTAGGTGAGGCCGCACAAAAAAAAAAAAA